GTTTGTCAAAAGAACATTCACAGAGATCAGGGATGGCAATCTGCTGCATCAGAATATGAACAACTGCCCAGTCTGAAGTTAACAGCAAGATGTGTTTTTACAAAAATTTTAAATGGCCCTTAAAAGAAAATAAATTAATGGGAGAAACTCACAGTTATGTATTGAATGTAGCACATGCACACACAAGTAAATAACCCCCCCATGTGATATAACCAGGACAAATTGGTACATCTGCTCAGTACAATAAAGCTATGAAAAACCACACACACATCACAGCTCTACTGCATCAAAATTCTGCTGGCTGTGAAGCGACTTACCAAATTTACTGTCTTCTTGAGGCACATCAAGGCTTTATAGAACACATGCACAGAAGGATATGAATCCCTTTATATCAGCATGGTGCTAAAATGTGGGACGTGAATACTACCTTATCAGAGCTGCTGTTCCATCAAAACTCAATGTCTTTCTATCTTCTGAGTCTGAAATCTACCAGTCTGCCCAGACTGATGAAAATTTGGTATCTTACTGAGGTCAGGGTGATCACACCAAATGTAAACAGGTGAATTCCAAAACACAGCAAACAACTCATGTTTACAAACACCAAATCACAACTATCCTTTCCCCAGTTTCCTCCCACTCTTAGAGACTGCATGAAGGTGCAGATCTGATTAACCAGCGACACCCAGCTAGTACTACTTTTTTGTATAGACTCAGGTAATTCATATCTGAGATTTAAGTGATCTTCTCCTTTCAAATAAAAAATAACTTCCAAATTAAAATCCAAAACATGAACAACTGTGTGGGATTTCTTTAAAATTAAATGCTAGCATAAACACTGTCAGTACCCTAACAGTCCATGAAAAGGAGCTGCAGGATTTGCCATCAGTTCACAGCCTACCTTACTGCACAGCAGTTCTGTGCAGACCAAATAATCCAAATATCCCACTTCATAAAACCAGTCATTTAACAAGTCACCATTTTCAGAATTTAATGGAATTTTAATTTTTCATAAAAAACCTACTTCGTCACAACTGCTGTAACTAAAAATGAGTTTATTTTCTGCTGCATGATGGAAGAACATTCGTTTGTTACTAAAGTCGCAGACTCACAGCTGGGTTCCTGATGGTGGGATTCAACAATAAACATGGAGACAATCTCCACTTACAACTATGACATAGCCCTGATGCCTTTGGACACTCTCCAAAGAAGCTCTTTTGCATTTTATTCCTAGTAGTAAGTGCTTGGCACGGTCTGAGTATATCTATCAAATCTCATCTCTCATGGGATGCAGGAAGCCTCTGCTTTCCTTTCCCTGTGCTGCTGACAGCCCTGTGCCAGTCAAGCGTTCGTGCTACCACACAATAAAACACAGTAGGGACTTCATCCATCTGAAACACAACCCAAGGGTAGGGAGAAAGAGTTCTTGCTCAGCACATGGCAGTACAATCATCTAATAGTGCAGCAAAGGAAGGGGTGTCCTAATCCCCACTGCTGCAAACACGTGAGTACCGTCAGGACACTCCAGTACACATTGGAGCAGTTCCACATCACCTCCCATACAGTCCAAAGGCAGTGTCACCAGCTGCTGTGCCTGTTTCTCTTTCCTCCTTCCAAATGAGATACCCTTCCCACTTCTTGTTTCCTATCTAGTACCTTCTTGTTTACAGCTCCAGTCACACCAGCAAACTCACCTGAAAGGAAACCGTGCACCCTCCCAAATTCTCAAAATGCTATTAGCCTCATTTTACCTCTAAGCATTCAAAAGGAACAAGAGACATGGATGGCCACAACCAACACACTTCAATTACCTAATTTGTTAACGTCATTGTCATGGAGCTACACTGAGAGCCAATACAGCAAGTATTTAGAATGTACAAAGATGGATGAAAATGCTGAAATACTCTATCTACATACACATAACCACTGTTTCCAAAAACGGCAATCTAAACCCTCATACCTCACAGAAGGATCATGGGCCAACCAACCAGCACCTGAAAGGAGCTAAGAGCACATATATCTCCCTAAAGACAGGAACAACTCCTACCATCTCCAGAGCACTGCAAAAATGGATACATCTCCAAAGTATATGCAGTATTTGACTAAAAAGTATAGATTTAATTTGAAAATAACTTTTCCCAACTTGAAAAGAAATATATCTTTTCCCAACACACTCCAGTCAAGTACTTGAACCTCTTCTGGTGAACAAGCCGATAGACTTAATTTTTTTGTTTCAAACAGCAAATCATTACTAAAAAACCACCAAATTAACAGCCTTTTTTAAACTAACTTGATACCATCACAGTCCTGAAAATAGCTCTACTACAAATGCTACTGTTAGCATCTCTACTAGGCACAAAGTACTCCTACACTATTGCTGCTATAAATTTGTTTGCAGCAGACAGTGGTATCAGCCTTGTCTTTAGGCAGAGTAAGTCCTGACAAAAGGTGCCCGATGCAGACTTCAGGATGAGGCAAGAAAACTGCCTGTTTGCAGCAGAATTTAAAGACAAAGCAACTGAGACCCAGAGAGAACTCGCCTTTTATTCAAGCAAGGGGAAGTGAAAGTCAACAGCAGAAAAAGATAAAAGGGCACAGGTCACGTTTAAATGCTTTCTGCGACAGATACAAACATTTGGTATTAAACAAACAGACTGTAAAGACAGCCCTAGAGAAATATTACACTCTTCAGAGGTTCCAGACAGGACTACCACAGATTAAAGCCTGGGCCCCACATACTCAATTAATCTCCAATTAGAAACACATTTACTACATTCAGGGTCTTAAAACATGCTGCATATCCATTCGGAAAAGCAGACCTCGTTTCACAGGGACGAAAACGAGCAAGAGATTTGGTGACTTCACTCGGAGCATCACGGGCTTCTCCGAACCACAGAACCAGAGCTGGTGCTGAGCACACGCAGCAGCTGCTCCGGCCGCACAAAGACAGCCTCCCGTGCGGTGCGACCGGCGAGCCGGGAAACACCCGCGTTTCCTCCAGAGCCTGACGAGCCCCTGCCTTTTGTCTCCTACACAGCTACGAGCGACCGGAGAGGGAAAAGCAGCACGGGGCAGGGGCGGGTCACAGGTGCCCAGGCCGGGGGCAGCACGGCGCCTGCAGGAGCTCACCTTGTATGACATGCTCCGGGGAGATGGTTTTCTTCTCCGATTTGTTGCAGATCTCGTTGGCCTCGGAGGAGATGAGGTGGATGAACTCAGTGCAGCAGTTGACCACCAGCTCCCGGGCGTCGTTCGCCACGCGGACGTTGGGCAGCGTCTCTTTGATCATCTTGTTGATGGCAGCCCTGGGGATGGTGAGGTCGTCGTCGTTGCCGGACGACGAGGCCATCCTGGCTGCGGGGGCTCCGGGGCTGCGCTCAGCGGGGCTCCAGGGCGCGGGGCCCGGCGGGAGCGACGCCGGGGAGAGGCGGAGGGTGCGGGGGCCGGGCCGGGGTTCGCTGCCGGGCCGGGGTGGCGGGGCCGGGAGGCGCTGCTCAGGCTCAGGGCTCCCTCGGCCGCGGCGCCTGCCACTGCCGCCTCCGACACATCCTTCGGGCGCCGGCGCCGCCGCCTTATGACCGCGCTGAGGGGAGGCGAGCGGCCGAACGGCCCGCGGGGGGCTCTGCTGGGCTGGGCTGAACTAAACTGGGTGGGCTAAACTGGGCTGAGCTGAGCTAAGCTGGCTGAGCTGAGCTGGGCTGCGCTCCCCCGAGCTGAGCTCCCCGGCCCGTCCCGGCGGAGCAGCGGCCGCGAGGCGGAAACGCTCCGGCTCCGGCTCAACCTGCGGAGACGGCGCTTCCGCCGGAAGCCGGAACAGCTTCCGCCGCGGGCGCCGGAAGCGGCGCGGGGCCACGTGCGGGCGGCGAGGGGCCCTCGGTCCGTCCGTCCGTCCGTTCGTCAGCCCGCGGCTGCCCCGCCCAGCACCGCTTCGGCCCGGCCACTGCCGCCGGGAGCTGCTCGGGCGCCCTCCCCTCGGTTCCGGTGGTAGCGGGGATTGGACGTCCCCGGCAGGCGCGTTCCCGCAGCAGGGCGCGCGGTTGGCGCTCGGCTCCTCATCCGCAGTCTGTTCACGACTCCCAGCCACGGAGGGATTTGCTCGGGATTTTCCGTCTTTGAAGCTGCATTTTGTGATTTCAGGCACCCCATAACCAGCAGCGTGAGGGTTGTGTGAGACAGTTAACCAGGCCGGTGCCTATGGAAGGCCCTTATACCCCACGGCCGTGGTCGTACCGTGCTGCTCTGTTCTGCACGGGAAAACCGCCCGGGAATGCAGCTCAGCCCAGCCTGCAGCCCGGGACAGCAGGAGCTGCTCCTTGCACACCTCTCCCTTCCCATTGCTGGCCGTGCCCAGCGCTGCCCCTCGCTAGTGCCGAAGGGCTGCAGAGGGCGAGTGGCCGCTCTCCCTTCAGCCCCAGCAGCACCGCTGGCCTTCGGTCCCTGCCTGCTCCTTTTCAGCCTGGCTGCTGTTCCCAGCTCTGTGCCACGCACAGGCTGATGCGGGGCTGCGGGCACCAGCCCGGGGTTTTCCCGGTTTGCTTTAGGAGTGGGACGTGGTCGAGGCCTCCAGCCGTGCCCAGGGTGCTGCTCTCCCCTCACTGCCCCGTCTGCTGCCCTGGGTAGGGCCCCACCTGCAGGGCCGTGACTGCAGAGCAAGTCGTGTGTTCCCTGCAGTGCTTGGCATCCCCAGGAGCTGCCCACGCCCGGGTGCTGCTTGGCTCCTGGAGCTCCTCTGGGGAGGGGCAGGGCAGGGCTGGGCAAGTCCCAGCACGGAGTAAAGATTTTGGCTTAGTGAGAAAGTATCGAAGGAAAGACAGTTGCTGTATCCCCCCTCCAGCTGGGCTGTCTGGGTGAGACAAGGACAGCTGCTGGAATGTGCTGAGGAACACCAGCCTGGAGGCCCGAGGGGCAAGGCTGGAGGTCAGGGAACAGGAATGCCGTGCAAGAACAGCACTTAAACCCAGGCCCCCAGCTGGCCTCAGATGACTTGTCAGACCAGGGTGAGAGAAATCTGACAAGGAAAAGCCCTTCACTTCGTGACAGAATTTTGGTTTAACACCTGCTTACTAGGATAGCTTAGAAGAAGAGAGCCTGTGGCTCTTCTTCAGACACTGAAGGCATTTAAGGAATTGAAATCACTTATTACTGATAATACTTTGTTTCTCAAAAGAATAGTACCAAGACAGTAAGAAAATATTTTAAGTTGCTTTTAAAAAACTTTTTATTGTTCACTAAGTGTAATACACTAGTAACCATTGCCCATAAAGGAAGCATTCAGAATATTATAATAAATATACTTGAATAATAAATATTCCACTTGTGACATTTTAAGATTGATGAGACTTTCTCTTATGTTGCTGATAAATAGATCTGACTTCTGAAAACAACAATGCAGCTGTGATTGAAGGATTACTGATTCTATCCTATTATAATAAGTGAAAAGATACGATATTTTTATGATATTAAGAATCTAAATAGTTTACCTACTGTACACATCTCGCTGTATTATATTCCATTAAGTGAAGGGATTAGGCTAATATTGAATACACAAATGTCAGTCAATGTCCACATTCCCACAAAAACAGGTCTGTGTAAAAAGCAAACACTAAAATGAATAAAACTATAGTTATGAGGATTTTAATTGCAAAGTTCTGCAAACTGTAACTTTGAAGATATACACATTCAGCTGAATATCTTGGCTAAGGTCAAATAAACATCTTGAATGCCTTTTCACAATTACAGAGCAAAGCCATTTGAATGACAACATACTGAGTCATCAGTAGCCACAAGTAATCCCAATTTGCACTATATAATCTCATACTTATTGTGAGGGTTTTCCCAGGTCAAAGCTCTTCCTGCTTCTCCATCGTAGCAATTTGATGAAGTTAAGACTTGCACTGAAGATTTTGTCATGCTGAAAAACCATTTTGTAGAATATATCAATGGGTAGATCTCCATTTGGATCTGCATACTTCAGAGTTGTCATTGGAGTATACAAGGTGTTGGTCTGATGGCGAAAAGGTGGATTGTCTGCAAGGATTACCTTCACTGTATGCTGTAGAGAAGGAGAAAGAAAATTTTCAAAGGACCTTTACCAAAATATGAAGTAAAACCCCAGTTTTCAGTTAACAGTGGAAAAGTGAAAGTATAAAGTCCTAGAATTATGTAAAACCTTGTATATAGTTTTATTAGAATTTCATTAGAAATTTTTCTTAAAATATTTTAAGGCCATAAGAAGTATTTTTTATTTATTCTTAGTCCTATTTCTGTTTCTCTATACTATGGTGAATAGCACCTTACACCTGAGGATCCTGAATAATCTTCCAAAATATGCCCACAATAGTAGATCTTTTCTTCTACAGTTCACTGGGAAAGGATCAAGACAGTGCATTTTGCAACAAGATCTGGGAACATTAAGTTGACACTGAAGCTGCTCCTTACCAGCAAACACCTGAAATCATTGTCCCCTTCCCCAGCTTGCCTTAACTTGTCTCCCTGCAGGAAGCCCCAGATGCCAGAAAATACGTCCATGTTTCTTCTGCTGAGCCTTGGTGGTCTGGAGTGGCTGAGTGAACTTGCCCACAGTGGAGAGTTCACCAGGGAGATGGACAGGGCAGCAGCTTTGCCAATGGTGGGAGCCCTGTGCTCGTGTATGGTGATACCTTGCAGCGTGCTCAGCCTTCAACAGATGATGATGCACAGGGCATCTAATACCTCGGTGGTGTTTAAATTACAACTCGTGGTTGTCTTCAGTACTTCAAAATGAACATTCTCTTAACATTCTACAGGGGTTTATTTAGAACTCTTTAATATTGTCTTGAGTTTTTAAAAACTCTTTTTTGTGTGTATTACATTTAATTAAATCTAATGCTTCTGCCAGACAAACCCACCAACCAACCACTGCATTCGTAAATTATAAAGGGAAAAAAAAAGAAAAAAAATAAGATGGAGAATTGTTGATGAGTTACCTCAGCAACATCTTCCGCACTTTGTCCCAGGCTCTGGAAAATCTGCTTGTAATTTTTAAGGTAAATATTAGTAAACATCTCAGCTGTTTCTGCATCTGCAGCTGAAAGATCCATTTTCATTCCATCTTCAAACACTTTTCTTTCAAACTCTGTAACCACTGGGCCTGGTTCAATCAAACTTAATCTGTTCAAACAGCAAAGATACACTGGTTTTTGACACTTCCCCCATGGAAAATACACCCCTCAATCCTTCCCAAAAAAGAAATATTCAAGAGTTGCACTCTTAGCAAACAATATTAAACAGTACATTCTGTAAAAGCAACCCATACTGCATTACTGTTCTCATGCTCCTCCTACCCATCCCCATGGGGTAGTAGAAATCTGCATAATTTGACTTTCAGAGAACTGCAGTAACTTAATTCATGGCGTAAGTGAGCAGAGTTGTTACCTGCTGTCTCGCAGCTGTGGAATATAAGGATGATTTATCCACAAGAACTTATCAGACATTAAGAAAAATAATTAATGGATGATAACAAAACTCATTACTTTACAGACAAAATTCTGCCTTCATTTCTTTGTTTCCCTTGATAAAACCAGAAGTAGCTGAAAGAGATGGGGGAATTGCCCAAAGATGGATTTCTTTTGTCAAGATGTCAGCATTAGATAATTCAAGATCCCTCCACTGTATAAGAACAAATTACAATATAAAGACTTTTGCTGGGTTGTTTTGCTCAGTAGCACACAGCAAATCACTGAAATACAGATACTGATCACGTTTTTTTCCCAGTTCTTTTCTCAGGCAATAATAACTCCCAGCCACTGTGTTTGTCAAAACACTCTCTGGAATAGGACCTCTTTGTAGACTTGAGTTCTTTGGGGATGTTCTAAAGGCTCATCTTTAGAACTAAATCAAACTATTGACCTTCACAGCAGAATTCCAGCTACTGCTGGAATTAATGCCTTTTCTCTTGTGTCACTCTTCCCATCAGATCTTTAACTTTTCCTATTATACTTCCTATTTTAACCTCCTTTTTGCTGTGCCTTATATTCTTGAAATCTAATTATGGATTCTGGTATCTCCTGTGTATCGTTACAATACAGTTATTTAAATCCCTCCAAACTTTGCAGAGCAGTATGTGGAATCACAGCTTTGTCTCTGAAATCCCACAACAGCAGGTGTCTCTTCTTCCACAGCACAGGGGCTCAATGCTTGGGCACACACAGATGAAGTGAATATTTACCAGTTGTTGGACTTCACACAAAGAACAGAAGCAGAATTAAATGAGTGTGAATATACATGTGACAAATCAAACCCCCAAATCCACAGATGATGAACAGGACTAGTCTCTTAAATACTGTCTAAAACACTAGAAACAGTACAGCACACTGTTCTCACTTTTCTCCCACTCCCTGTCATTACAGGTATCTCTCCCTGTGTTCCATTCTGATGGATTTGCACTTGCTCCCTCTCTATGGTGAACCCTTGGAGTTTTTCATCTGTGAATCGCCTAAGAAGGCTGTTCTTCCTTCTAAAGGAAAAGATAACAGGTTGATGTTATAATTTTATTCCTGGGATATCGTATGCAAGAATCTGTTTTCAGAAGTGTTACATAAACCTTATTTTATCCACAGCTAAACATCCTTTAACTATTCAAGAGAACATGTTTATTTTAACATCTAGATCTTTTTATTTGCTTAGGTAGTGTGAAGAGTGTGGACCCTTCTATGCCTTTTGTGACATACGGTTTTCAAGGACTTCTTAATCTCTTTAGCAGCAAGCATTAAAAATTTGTTTACTAGATCTAAAATATTTAATACTATCTAAAATACAGTTTACACCAGTGGATCAATACTTACTGCAGTTTGAACTTGAGTGCTTGAATAGCTAAACTTTCACAGAAACCTTCCACAGCAAACTTGGATGCAGCATAAACATCATTAAATAAAATACCTGATGATACAAACAAAACATCCGTTAGAATGTGATTGTGTTCAACATACTAACAGTTTAATTTTAAAAACTCATTTTTACAGCTTTGCTGGAAAAACAGTAGAAAAATCCTTGTGCATGCTGAATCTAAACACTGAGTTTTGCCTAAGTTCTCGAAACTGCTTAGTCTGGGAAAGGATGTTTGAGTAATACTTTTCCTTCTCTTAAGCAATGCTGTGATCTCTTTGGATGATATGATTTTGTAGTCTAAGATGTGGTAAGTGTCTGTACACATAATCCCACCTGCATTATTTATCAGCAAGACTTTAATAGACAAACACAGGAGCTGAGTGCAATGCAGGAGATCCAATCATGCCAGAGATCCAGCTGGCATCTCAGTGAGTTAGAAAAAGCACTACATCGATCCTTTTAGGTGGAGGGTAAGTATTGTATTAATATAACAACTTCTGCAGTTTGATGTAGGGCCTTTGCTCACCAGAATAATCCAGGTAAGTTTTCAAAACTGAAGCAAATACAGCTAGACAGGATGGGACACGAGAGTAGGAGTACCACTATCTGTCAGTGAAATTTTACTCTCCGAGTTTTACGAGATGAGAAACTTTACAGAAAGGTGGTACAGTTGTTCAGGATTGGATTTGATTCTATTATTGTTGAGCAGAGTGTAGTAAACATGTTTGTCTGTTCCCATAACTCCTTCCAGTAGGAAAGAGAAAAGTAATGCTAAGCCCTATTCTCCAGATAATAAAACCAATAAATTTTATTTTTAAATTGAGTTTAAATTAAAACTCTAAAAAAAAGATTCACTCTGCAGGTTTTGTTGCTATAATGTCTTGAGAGTAGCCGTGTAGTAACATCCCACCTAGATGCATAAAACCCATCAGGTGCTTTGTGCAGTTGGAACATCAGCATTACAAAATACAAGTTAGATATGCCGGCTCCTATTTTTTTTGTCTTTTAGATATAAAGAGGAAAGCTTTACATTTTGAGTTCTGAACTCTTACGTCAAACAAACAAACAAACTTTACCTTGTATTCCCATAACACTGCTTATTATAACTATATGTCCACTCTTTCTCCTCTTCATGTCAGGCAAAATCTCCTTCAGGAGTCGAACCAGCCCGAAGAAGTTGGTGTCCATCACAGTTTTCATTTCATCAATGGTCTGACATTCGATAGGTCCAATGAGCCCCATTCCAGCATTGCTCACTGGGCAAAATGGGACACAACAGTGAGCAACAACCTCCATAAATATAAACTTGTAATCTTTACTGGAAAGCATTTGAAAGTAAAATGAGGATTAAGGGTTAAATGATCCTTAAATAATCCTTTAAGAAAGGATTAAAAGACATTATTGTCACTAAAGCTTTGCAAATACACTTGACATTTCCAGATTTCTTTATTTTTAACTATGCTTTTAATCCAATTTAAATTATCACATACTTTGCCTTTTTACTAATTTATTTCTGATTAGTCCTTTTTAAAAAAAGTTACTAAAGTATTACAGGAAAATGAGACAAGAATTACCTGTTTTGTTTATAATTCAGTATTAAGAATTAAATTTACAGTCAATACCTATAAGAATGAACAGAAGTCTTCAAAACATGATAGACTGGGCCAGATTGTGGTCTGGTTTTTGTTTTCTTAACATTCATATCTTCAAGAGGAAATAAACCCCCAACAAACCAAACCGAACACACACTTCCATTGATTTTTATTTGCCTTCTGGATATTTGTAAGTGGAGAATGATAATAGGACTGGCATTCTGCATTACAACTAGTATGTCAAATTAGAGTATAGTACATTTTGCAGAAACAGTTTGTTAAGCATTGCTTTAATAATTAATCAAAATAAATGCAGATCCATAATTTTCTATTAGAGAAGATTTAATAGCTGATGGTGTAAGCAATTTCCATTTTACTAAGATATTAATATTTATTTTTGGCAAAACGGTATGAAAACATTTCTTGTTGAATGATTTGTAAAGTACAATTTAAGTTCTCAATACAAAGTGAAAATATCCTTACTTTCTTTGCATTTGTTCTTTTACTTGCTAATTCCCAAATGCTGTTGCTTTCTTACTACAGAGTTGTTGCTTCATCAATGGAGTAGAAAGTCTTGCTCATGAAAGTGCCGGTTTAGGCAAAAGTTCTCACATTTACTAAAAACTGCTTCACCTTATCCAAGACACTTCCCTGTGATCAAATTTCTCCTTTGTAAACAAGGAAAACAAGCTTCCCAACTTCATGGAAGCAGGGTTAGATTTAATCCACTCATGTCTACGTGAAGTCTTAAGATCTTGAACAGAATATACTATGCAATTGTTACTACTTTGATAACTTAAAAACTACACTAATGAAACTTCTGCAGGTTAATTGAGATGATGATATATAGAAATCTGGTATCTGTTCATAGCACGCACATCCTCTACTTGCCTAGGACATCAATCCTTCTGTCAGGGATACTGTTCACACAAGCTTTAATAGACTGCTCATCACAGACGTCGAGTTGTTTAATTTCCAGGGTTTTGCCCAGCCTGGGACCCGCCGCTTCCTCCAGTGGCTCTTTCTTGGCCAGATTCCGCATTGTGGCATAAACTGCAGCACACCAGAAGCAACAGTTAGCAGAAATAAAAACCATAATTTTATTTAAAAAGTGGAACACAGATACTTCCTTAGGTTGAAAAAAAATTAGTTTGAACATTATTGTGGCCTAATTACTCAGAGAGCTCTGAATGTGCATCCAGTCAGTTAGCAGTAAAAAATCGTGAGAGTAAGTAAGATTGCTGTGTTCATCTTGCCACCCACTTCCAATCATAGCAAATACTCTGTTTTGCAGCAGTAAGACAAATCCCAGCCCCTTTGTTCACGCAGTTATGCCTACACAGGGTTGGAATAATGAAATGTGCTTTAAGGAAAGAACTGCCAATTTACCTAAGTTTACCTAAATTCCCTTCTTTGGTACTCAAATGGGCACGGGCGTGTACCTTTCATTCAACACATTTTAGGAGCCCCAAGCAAAGCTGCCCCCAGCTGTGAATGTGTGTCTGAGGCAGCACACTACACAATCTGCAGCTATTGGGCTTTATGCTCCCGTCTTTTCCCGGTGTGTGCGTAAACTTCCTCACTTCCTGTAGTTGCTCAGTTTCAATACAGCTACAGAAATATAAACTGCTTACAGAAAACAGTATATTTTTCACTGTATTGTATTGTCTTGGCAGTAGAAGAGGTAAACTAACAAGAAACAAGTCATCAAGCTGAATACAACTGCCAGTAAAATCACAGAGGAGAAAACAGCACTGTCTTGAATGGAATCTTTTTATAAAGATAAATAACAGATACGTGGTTACCTTTAAATCTCTTCTGTTCATCTTTTGCCATTTTTACAGCTAATGCCAGTCCAATCCCTGAGGAGCAGCCTGTAATGAGGACATTTCTTCTTGCCATTCTTTTCACTGAGGGGTTCAAGCAAGAGTTCTTCTTCAGAGGAGCAACAACCTAAACGTAACTACAGTATAATGGGACTGGCCTTTAATGTTATCTCCAGCTTCCCTGAGTCAACAAATCTGAAAGTGCACACCTGGACCTTGCATGATTAAGGGATAATCTCCAACTAGACAAAACCAGAAGCAGATGCTCCTACATGTGCTTATAATCTGCATTATCAACATGGGTTATATTTTATACAGAATTTGATTAAACTTAAAAATAAGACATTTGTAAACTACGTGGATTTTTTTTAATAGAATAACCAGCTTGCACACTACTGGCAGGAAAAGCCTTGCCACAATTACAATCAGTCTGTAGTGTTGAGTCTTCCACTCATATTTATGGAAAGTAAACTGCACCCAAAGTGGGATCCCTCTGCTAAAGCTGTTCAGACCTTCTTCACCTACTGCACCCTCCTTGTTCTTTTTCCACAGAATGAAGAATGGATTTCTTCCCGATCCCTTACTATTATGAGTCCTAACAGCCATTATAGAAGAAAAAAAAATTGAAAAATGGGATGTGGGTTTTGAAAGAGAGAAGTTGTTGGACAGATTCCTCACATTTCCTTTGGGCAGTGTTCCCAACCAAGACCAGGGAAAGCAAGCAAGTATACTGGCACAGGAGAACTGACAGGAAGATGTTGAACAGACCAGCTTTGCTACATGCTCGCTAAGACTGGAATCTCTTTCAACACTTTTGATTCTGCAAATGACAAGTTGGAAATTTAAAAAAATCAGAGCTAGCATGATGTCTGAGTTTTGGACTGTTCTAGTTCTGGAGAAAATATTCCACCAATTTTGCATATAAACTGTGGATTAAACACAGGGGCATTTGGACTGGCACTTTGGTGCAATGCATGCTTAACATACAGGAACTGCAGGTACATTACAGAAAGAAACTCAGTGTTGTTTCTGCCCTCAGTGACAGGAAAACAAAAGACCTTAATAAGCAATTAGCCTTATGAGCAGCATTCAGCTAATTGCAATGCCATTATACCCAGTAAAATGTTTGCCAAAACTCAACAATCCCATGTGATGCAATGCACTTTAGAAAAATGAACTTAGTGTTCCAGGATTTGCAGAGATGTAAATTCATTAGTAATTTGAGAAAAGTAGGACCTTACTGAAACGTTTAACTGAAATTGTGTTTAAAAAACCCCAACTCCATCCTTTCCAAAAGAAACAAATTGACATGAACAGTGTGAGTGGAATTATTAACTTCTCAGGCAAGCAACAAAATAGCACAAAATCTAAAGTTAAAGAGAAAACGTAATTATAATTCTGCTTATTTATCAGGTTTGACCCCCAGTTTAACCAGATAAGTTAGTATACAGACAAAATTTTAGTGCAAATGCTGTTTAGCTGATTCAGAGATTAGGCAAATTGCTTTTGCTGCTCATGCACATTTATATTTAGTGCATGTAGGAGGAGCAAGCGAGGCTTTAATGCAATGCTAGTTAGTGGAATTCCACTAGTGTTGTGATGCAGCTGTAATTACAGATTGGTTATATTTTCCCCTTGAAATCCTGGTTTGAAGGGCTTACATGTTCCACCGCTTTAAAAAAAAAAAATCTGTCTGAAATTTGATGCAAAGATTTCTGAAGGCAAAGTGATGTGCCTAAAGAGAGTAAAAAAAATAGTTTAATTTGCAATTATTATACCAGTCAACCTAATTCTAATGCTTTCCTTTACTATTGCATAGAGAAACGTACAGCTTGATGTAAAACACACAATATATTTCTGTAAGGAACAGTATTTTTCACCAGCTCCCAATTTTCATAATCTGAAACTGCAGAAATACTTTAGATAAGTGTATCTTCTTAACCTTGTCTATGGTAGCAGAATGTGTGGCTGGTTTTGTAGAACCACTTAGTGTGGCATTTGTGGAACGTGTTTACACAAACAATGAAAGGCCCATGACTGCCCAAGGACTTTGGCACAGGACCACTTGCAGAGTTGCAGAAACACAACAGATTTATTTGCTGGCCAAGATACACTTTTAATATACAAAACATTCAACCGAGGCCTAGGATTTAAATTGCAACACATTCACTTCTGTTCCTCTTAAGTCAAGTAACTTTACTAACTTGATTTTTTAAAGTATGAATCACATGTCTTAATGCACATAAATGATGAATGCATTATTCAGACTCAGACTGAGGACTCAGAACCAAATTTGCAGTTTCTGATGCTTATGTAAATAGAAAAGTGGGGCCACCAGCTACTTGTACAGTTAAATTGTGCAGTACTTTTAGAAAAATGGAAATAAATATGTTTTAGAATGCATAGTTATGATGCCATTTTAATCTATGGTAATTTTTTTATGGATTTTTGCTGTAAGAAATAAACGAACTCAAAGCTCAGAAAGTTTTATGGCCTGGTCCCCTTTGCATCTTAAAGATACTGCTTGGAATAAAGCAAGCAGGTTTTGCCAGTGTCTGTGATCAAATCAGTGTCCTAAAACATCTTACAAACAGGTCAATTTTAATAAGATGTTGTGTCTGCAACGCTGCGTATGCACAAAAAAAGAAGATAAAATATTCCCAAACAAAAATTGTTAATAATACCATTGTGTTTTTAATTAGAAGTGAGATATGAAACAAGTACACCATTCAAAATCCTTGGAAAAAGATGACAGCTGAAATTAATTCCTACAACTTAAGATAAATATTTTAAAGTATAAAAAATAAATTAATATGTTCTGATATCAAGGCAATAATCTCAAAAACAGTTGGAAAAATAAAAAGGGTATCATCTGCTTCAGCACAAATAACTACATTCCTTCTTTAGAAATACTACATTAAAATTTCCTCTTGGAATGCCCAATTATGATGCCAGCAGTAGCATTCCTGGGTTGCTGCTTGTCCAATGGGCAACATTCATTTCTTCACAGTTCTCGCGCCTGAAACAAAGTAACTGTGATCAGAACCTTCCTTTAAACTTCTGCATTCAAATTATCATATCTAAAGAGATTTGTACCGAGATATTACTTTTCATTATTAACATTTATCTTACAAATTCAAGAAAACTAACAGCAGGTCTCAAGTCCATGCCTGTTTTCTCAAATTCTGACCCCTAAACTGACATTATTAATGCATTTTTGTCCACTGTTCTCATAATTGAAGTGCATTTGCTTTCTCAATGAGCACAATTTACAAATGTTACAACATGTACTAAGTTCTAACAGAGAAGTAGGAAAATGTTATGTGGAATAGTTTAAGAAATCTTCATATGCAAATCCCTGGAAAACTTCTGCACAGTTTAAAGGAGCACTGTCTTTTGCTCTCCTGTGTAAGGCTTAAGGTTTCAGGTAGGATTGCGTTATTGTGTTTAAGTTCCTGGCAACTGAAGATTCTAACAATTGAGGAAGTGTTTGTAAAAACCCCCCCCACAGTATCAAGGTATCATGAGAAAGCGAGCTTATGATGTTTAACGATACAAAGCAAGAAAAATAGCAACAGGAATGTCAACTGGATTTTCTACAGCACATAGAAATAAATGCAGCCAAACACAGTATGTTTGAGGTTGGGTGGGGTCTTTTTGTTACTTTCTGGAGCTTTAGCTTCCTCCTACCCCTCCTTCGAAAAACAAGTTTACATGCTGGATGTAATTATTCAGCAGTTCACTTGTTGAAAGAGCAGTTGGTCTCTTTAGTATATGATACACAGCAGCCATGTTTACATTAATATTGGGTTTTTAAACAATTTTATTTCTCATTTCAGAAGAAACTGGGGTCACAAAAAATTAGTTTGCTGTAAGTCCAATCTGCTTTTTTTTTTTTTTAAATAAAGGAAATTACTTCAATTTCCCAGAAAAAGGAAAAATTCATTCATAATGTTCAGTAAGATATTTTCAGTTCCTTTAATTGGAATACTTACAGCTTTGAAGGGTAGCAGAGTGCTGAATTGTTACAAGATCCTCTCTGCAGATTGAAGCACAGTAACAAAGAACGATTCAACCGAAAAATCTGTGACCTGGTTATTTCATGAGTCCCAAAGGGGCAGAGAGGACCAGGACAGAAATCAACCCTCTCTAGCAATTCCTCCCCTGAACTAATATATTTTCTGTAATAAGCAGCCAAGGTAGTGTTTTAAGAGGAAAAAGAACGAGACAGACTGCTCCCCTGGGCAAGACACAGCCCCCACCATTTTCCCCTGGATAAATTAGGCAATTGAGGTTTTAGAACTAGGACAGAGAGTTTCTGTGGAAGACTGGTCAGTCATTCTGCAGCGTGTTACTAATGGAGAAATTGTTTTCTTACATCATGTTAATATACACAATTTTTAAACAAAGAAGGAACCACATCATATTCTAAGTGGAGCCAGAAGCCCTCTGCAATGTATTTTGTATTTTATGCAGAATGCTTCCAAAATCCAGTGGTTTATCCACCTCACTGCAATGACAATAAAATTTCTTTTGCTTCACCCCAGGTCTCTAAAGGAACATTACTAGAGTAGGTCTATTTTCAAAGCCTTTCTTACGTCATTCTAAGGCCTCTCCCTACCTGGTATTCCTTAGCAAAAACACTAACAAGGCAGTTTGTCTGGAAAGAAAGGGTCTAGTCAGCAGTTGTACAGGGGCTAGTTAGGAAATTCTGAAGCAAAGAATCATCCCTTAGGAAAAGTTGGCAATATGTTAATGATATGAGTGAATGGGAGCAGCACTCACTGTCCTGTCCTTGAGTGTCATAAACAACCTAACAGAAAACCTGACACTGAGGGAGAGCTGACACTGCTTTAATTGGCAGTAAAACAACCTTCACATTCAGCTGTTACCCAGCCAAGCCCCCATGATCTGGAACACAGATCAAATGCTTTTGGTGACCACACAGAAATAAACCTTCCCTCATATCTCACCCTAGGGACAAGAAACACACAAATGCAGCACAACCAAAGTGGCAGGAAACGTTGTGGCCTTGGAGTTCACCTCTAGCTGGCAATCACCTGCACAAAGCCTACTTATCTCAGGTCCCATTTATACTTGCAGTGACTGATTCATGCACCAAACCAAAGATTTATATCATCCATAAAGTTATCTAATGACGTTTATTCTATCCATTATGCTCCCATTCACTGTGCCAAAAAACTCTCACTTCTCATTCCTATAAACACGCTACATCTCAGGGCTCTTTGGATGCAATAACTTTTGAGAGAGAGTACCTAAATCACGAGAAGCTCTCATCATACAGCATTTTGGTTTGTTTCATTTCAAGGAAGGCGATGTCATCCACAGCCAGAAAATCAGGTTACAAAAGATAATCAGTATTCAAATTTCTCCCCAGAAAGCAGACAATTAAGAGTGTGATATTAAATTTGTAATTTTTAAGTAACTAAACTGGTTTAACTTCAAGTGATTAAGATTCAGCAAACACCAGGATACAAAGTACAATGATTCTGGGAGAATTAACGACACTTATGCTAAAGAGACACTGTATAGTTCCTTCTAGGCAGGTAAAGTAATGGCATTAAAAATTGATAATTTGTTTTGTACATTTTACCTTTTCAAGAGCTTCTAGGTTATGTTGTTTTCTTTGCTTTTTTTTTCTTCAGCTGATTTATTTCTTGATCTCTCTGGAGCAATTCAAACTCTTTTTCACGAAGCTGATCTTTAGAATGCTGGAGTTTCTTCTCTAAGCTCTCAATCTGAACAGAAAATGCAATTAAATCAGAACTGATATTTTACCAGAGTTAGAATGATTTAAAAAACCCCAAAAGCACAAAACAAAAAAACCTCACAAATAACCATCAGTTTTACCACTGACTTAGGATTCCCTTGTCGATTTCTTATTTTGTCAACATGTTCCTTTACCAAAAGAGCAGTTTGGGAGCTATATCATATCAAATCAAGTGAAAAAATAACTTTTCAGTTTCGCATTTTTATATCCCTGCAAAATTTATAGTTTCAATTGACAAATGAAGTATTTTTGCTGGTACATTATTAAGGTACTCCCCTCTCCCTACAGTAAGAAACCAGTTTTCATCTTCTAGATTAAACCTGTCCAGCTATGGTGTCCCAGGACCAGACTTTCTCATAAAATTAGCTGCCCTTTGTTAGGGAGACTGTTTTTAAACTGAGAATTACCTTTTTATTGCATTCCTTGATTTCCAACTCTGACTTTTGTAAATTGCACTGTAATTGAATTATTTGTTGTTCCATTTCTCCCCTATGTTCACGAACTGTCATATCCAGCTGTGTAACCTACAGGTGAGAAAGGAAGAAAAGGAAATGTTTTATTTTTAATTAGCATGTAGATTTTAAGAAGTAATATCACAAACTATGACAGCAAAATGAATTAAATTAATCCTTTGTAGCCTCAAGAATATTCTCTGGAGTAGTCAATATAAAACTGCACCCTAGCTATCTTGTTTAAAAAAATAGTGGCCAAACATAAAAAGAAAAGGGGAAAAATCAGGAAAAATCCATAACTGAATATGTTAGGTCCTCATATGCACAGAATACAAGCCTATTTCTCATTTTCAAAGAAATATAATGAACAATTTATTATACAAATCCACCTTGTTAGAAAGTGACAGATTTTGCCAAACCAAAAAAAAAACCATCCAGTCATCAAAAGCTTTGATGAATTCCTGGAGCAGCTCACAGGGTACTGTGGCAAAAATATATTGCAAGATCTGGCCTTCTTACAGTGTCAGTTGCTTAAACAGATTTATTCAAATCCCCACTCCTCCTCTCTGAACCTCAAATATTCTGGAATACAAAGGCTGGTAACTCCTGCAGGGAGAGGCCAGTTATAAGTGGCAGAAAAAAAATTTTCCC